AGGAGAAGTGCATGGGAACACTCATGGGCTATTACGAGAAGGGATCCATTCAGGTGAGTGGAATCAGCATGAAAATGGCTTTTAGAGGCTTAAAATTGATGAGGAATGACCAACAATTGACCGAAAAACGAAATTCTAGACTTTCTTACTGCAAAAACTGTAAAATAGTCTGCAAATTTACTTAAAATAAGTCCAAAATTCATTAAAATCAGCAGAAAATGGCCCGGAGAAAAAAAATCGGGGTTAATGACCATTTTGGCTCTAGATTTGTTGAACCAACCTGCCCATAACCGTTTTTAAGCTCCAAATACAGTTCACTTGAAATTTCCAACGTTCCTGTCCAATTTTCAACTTCCTAGCTCATCTAGGAGCCGAGATACGGTCATTTGAAGTTTCAGGAGGCTAGAGACGCCAAACGACGAGACACGCTACGTCTCTAACCTCCTGGAACTTCAAATGGCTGTCGGCTCCTAGAAGAGCTAGAAATTCGACAATTGGACAGGAACGTGTGATAAGTCAAAAAAAAATGTGTTTGGAGCTCAAAAACATCGAAAATCTAGCTCTCATATAACGAAAAACTGGAAAAAAAATCTCAGAATTTCGATTTTTGACCCGAAAAGCCCCTATTTCGCAGGTGACCAACTGTTTCGCAATCCCCTTCAACGAGAGCAACGACGATCTGGAAATAGACGATCAATTCAATCAGCAAATGATCTCCGCACTCAAGAAGACGTCACCGAATGAGCAACCGGTCGGATGGTTCCTCACCACTTCCGATATAACGTCCTCGTGTCTCATCTACCACGACTACTACGTGGTGTCATCACCGAAGCATCGGCACGTCGTGAATCTCCACCGATCGTCGTTCTGACAATCGACACCACGTTCTCAGGTAGAGTTTGACCATTTCTAGGCCAGAAAATATGGGAAATGACCCTAAATTCATGAAAAATGGTCATTTTATCATGGTGGCCTGACTTTTGCAACTCGAGTTTTCTAGGCCACCACGTTGAAATGACCCATAGATCACACCAGGGGACATATCTGACCATTTCCAGAAAATTTTACATGGTGGTGGCCTNACTTTNGCNNATTGTTGGGTTTTCTAGGCCACCATGTTNAAATGTCCTAAAGATCCTACCAAATGAATATCAGGTCATTTCTAGGTCATTTTAGAATGGTGGCCTAGGAAACTCAATTTGAAAAAGTTAGGCCACCATGCTGAAATAGCCTGAAAATCGTACCAGGGGCACATCTAACCATTTCTAGGCCATTCTAGCTTGCTGGCCTAACTTTTGCAAGTTCGGTTTTCTAGGCCACAATGCTGAAATGGTCTGGAAAACATACCAGGTGAATATCTGATCGTTTCTAGGTATTTTTAACATGGTGGCCTAACTTTTGCAAAATGAATTTTCTAGGCCACCATGTTATAATGGGGTAAATAACACACACATAGACAAGTCGTTCTAGACCAGTTCGAGGCAATTTTAGCCAAAATCCATAAAAATTGGTCCAAAATCTGTAAAAATGACCCACAAATCAGGAAAATGGTTGAAAAATGGTGAAAAATGATCATTTTAGCTCGGTGGCCTAACTTTTGCTACTCGAGTTTTCTAGGCCACCACGTTAAAATGGACTAGAAAACGTACCAGGTTAATTTCTGATCATTTCTAGTCCAAAACATCTGGTGGCCTAAAAAACTCAACTTGCAAAAGATAGGCCATCATGTTAAAATGGCGTAACATGCCCCTGGTACGTTTTCTAGCCCATTTTAACATGGTGGCCTAGAAAAACCAACGTGCAAAAGTCAGGCCATGACAATTTTTCATGAATTTCAGATCGATTTTTATGATTTTTGGGTCATTTTTCATGATTTCAATGATTATTCGCCTCATCACTCCATTTTCAGGAGACATGACCAAGCGTATGCCAGTCAGAGCCTACCTCCGCTCGAAGGCCGGAATCCCAGGAGCCGCCGGACCACACTGCGCGATTTTCAATCCACTCCGTGTCGAGTTGGCCGCATTCCCCGGAGAATTGGTTGCCATGCAGCTGATGGAGAAGGCGTTAGACTCGAGACGACGTGAGGCGACGCTGGAGAGCGGTCTGGAGCAGTTGGAGGTGTCGACTGCGCAGATGATCGAGTGGTTGGAGAGAATGTTGAGGTTGGTTGAGGGGAAAATGGGCTAAAACGAGCTCTGGCGCTAGAAAAACGGGCTAAAATCGATCGCCCTAGACACTCAGAAAAAGCTATTAGGTGAAAAAATGCTCATGTTATAACTATGGCGTTGATAAATGAGCTGAAAATATCCTTTGGAACTAGAAAAACGGGTCGAAATTGCGTCGAAGGCGTTCCAGTTGCTCTGAAATGGTAGAATAACGCGCCAAATGCACGCCAGAGGGATTCCAGCCAACGAAATTCTCGAAATTCAAGAAACTAGGCAAATCCCGATGTTCTAGCTTCTCTAGGAGCTGAGATACAGCGATTTGAAGTTTCGGAAGGCTAGAGACGCCAGTCGACGAGACACGTTGCGTCTCTATTCTTGGAATCTTCAATGCGCTGTATCTCGGCTCCTAGGAACGCTAGAAACTTGATTTTTGGGCCAAAATGAGTGTTTGGTAGGATTTTCTAAAAATTTTTCCGCTGAAAATGACCCAAAACCCTCAAGAATCCCCTAAATTTGCAAATTCCAAGAATTTCAGTTTGTTATTCGAATTCTAAAACCTCAGAATTTGAGAATCGTATGATCATAAGGTACTGAATTAATACGCAAAAAAGAGCTCCTCAAAATTTCGTTCATTTTCGTTCTATTTTCAGCTTCCTAGCGCCTCCAGGAGCCGAGATATGGCTATTTGAAATTTTTGGAGAGACGCAGACAGTTAGAGTATCTCGTCGTCTGGCGTCTCTAGCCTCCGGAAACTTCAAATGGCTATATCTAGGCTTCTAGGTGAGCTAGAAATGTGTTTATTGGTCCGAAATGAAACCAGTTCACACAGTTCTCAAAACTTTTCAAAAAATCCCAAAAACTTTGAAATTTTGGAATCTCTAGGCGTCAAGATTCTGAATTCCTACAAAAAAGAAACGTGCTTCTGGAAATTTCACTCATTTCTGTCCAATTTCCAACTTTCTAGCATATCTAGGAGCTGAGATACAGTCCACTGAAGTTTCAGGAGGCTAGAGATGCCAGACGACGAGATACTCTAACTGTCTGCGTCTCTCCAAAAATTTCAAATAGCCATATCTCGGCTCCTGGAGGCGCTAGGAAGCTGAAAATAGAACGAAAA